TCTTCTTTTCGTTGTCATACAATAAAATCACTGGTTTACCTCCTCTTATCCTCAAAGCTAAATGAATAAATGATTTATTTGTTGTTACACAATCTAATAATGTGTTTTGATCTTCAAGTTGCTTTCTAACATAGAGAAATCTTTGTTGCTCCAAAGGAATTCCTGTTATAGATTTCACAAGGCGTTTTACTTGTGAAATAGTAAAGATACCAAGTACTTTAATGAAATATTCGTCTTGAATGGGTATTTTATTATTATCCTAATTTCATTTAATCCAGCAACTTTCATTCCTTCTCGGTTTTTCTTCATTATTTCAAAATTGGTTGATAATGTCTCTTTCATTTTGCTTTGTGTCTTTTCATCTGTGACTAGTTCTCTTAATTTTTTCTCTTTAACATTGATCATTCTATCTATTATCTGGTTCTTTAGTTTTCCTGTTTCGATGTTTTGATTCTCGCTTTTTTTAACAACCAATTTATATATTTCAGTGTCTCTTTGAAGTATTTCGTAGTATTTTCATTCTTTTGCAAGACATTCTTCGTTATTCTGTCTTTGGGTGTCAATCTCTTTGATGAGATTGTCATACTTTTCAATAAACTCTTTCTCATTTTCTGGAACTTTAATGATATAGTTATTTTCATACCCAATTGTTTCTCTTTCTTGTTCTTCAATATGTTGCATTTCACCAAAATTATTAAAAAGCACAAAAGAGAACATCCCAAGGATATTTGAACAACACGACATTTGGTATTTTTCAGTCTTTATGAGGTTTGTCTTATCAATAATTTTTACGGCATATAAAACTTAATAAAATTAAATGATAAGTAGAATTAATTCACTTATTTTTATGAATAAGATTATCCATTGTAACTTCTTCTCCTTTAACAAGGTTTCCTTCTTTGTCAACACTCAAAAACTCTAATTTAATCCCTCCTTGTTTAAATCGTGTTGTTCTTAATAACTTCCATGCATCAACAAATTGTCCATCATCTGTTTCACAAACAGACATACTTCCTTGTTTAGTGTGAAGAGTATTTGATTTCATTCCAACCCGTAAACAATTAAGTGCTGCTGGATTAGGAACAGCCGCAACAAATGAAATAAGAAGTAAAATAATTCCAATCATGACTAATACATTCCAGTTTTTTGTTTATTTTTTTTATTATTTGTTATATATTTCAAATTTTTATTAAAATGTTGTATTAAAAAAGATTAAAATTTTTGTTATTAGAAAGTCATGAGAAAAATTATCATTCTATTTTTATTCTGTGAGAAATAAAATTTTATTATTAAATGTTGATTTTTCATGTTGCGAGACAGTAGGCAAAACAACTGAATATATACAGAAATAATAGTAATATCAATTTGGTATTACTCTTTATGATGTTTTATTTAAATAAATTACTGAAAGAAACTAATATTATTAAATATCCATTTAAATTATATTATCAAATTATGTTGTGTAAGGTTTTTAACTCCTTACAATAACTTTCACTAAACAACTAATTTTTTCAATTTCTCTTCAATGCCATGAGGTAAAATGAAACTAAGATTTGATGTTGTTGAATTTCCATACTGGTCAAATGATTCAAAATATCCGTTTATTGATTCAAGTTTTGTTTTTTGATTTTGTTGGATATTTTTTTCTTTTGACCCAAATGTTTTTATTATATTTAGTAAATTGTATGGTAATGTTGTTGGAGATATTACAAACAAATGGCTTTTTAGAGACCAAAAATACTCAAGGACTTGTTTTAACCACTCTCCATACTTTGCTTTGATTTCTGATATGCTATAAAATATTCCATTATCATCAATTGTACTAATAAACTCATTGGGACTTTTATATGTATTAGTTGTTGGAACTTTTGACACCTTAGTATTTATCAAGATTCCATCTTTGAAACCTCTTGCTTTACACCATTGTGTAAGACAATTCATAAATTGGTCATGAATGTCTTTTTTAAGATATCGTTGAACATTTGTATTTTTTGAGAAATTTTCAGTTATAGTTGTAATCTGTTTACTAAATATTTTTTCTGTCCAAATATTTCCTTCAACTTCAACAGAAAATATGTTAATTTCATTTCTTTTATCAATAACTTTTTTTCTTTTTGGTGGAATAATAGTCACACATCCTCCTTTGTAAACTACATAACTGATGATAAATCCCCATAAACTAAATATTTTTTCTTGATGGTTATGTTTCTTTTGTAAAATGTTTGAGCGTTCTATTTTGTCTTGCATTAATCTTTTGTTCCAGTTTTAATTTTTTTAGTGCTTTTATAATGAATAATGAAAGATTTTATCTGTCATTGAAATAAAATTGAGTGACGCTTGTATGTTATATTATTTTTTTGTGAAATAATTATTAAAATAATAATAATAATAAATAGAAATCAAATTAGGTTCAATTTAATTTGGTTTATATGGTAAGAAATGTATTTAATTATGAAACAATAAACGTTATTCATCCTTCTACTAAAATCAAATATTGAAATATTTATTAAATAAATTCTTTTTCAAATAACTCAAGACTGAAACTTATTTCTATTGGTACTAAACATAGGTATATTAATGTAAAGATGCTTTATAACAGGAACAATGACAAAAAAGTCATCTTCATATTTGTCAATGCTTGAAATATTCCCAAAGATAGTCTGTATAACAATAAGTCATAAATATTATGAGAGACACTATGAAATTCAAATTATATAGTTGTAGTGTTTATAGAAATTAGACTGAAAGGATAAAGTGTTATTATATGAATTATAAGAAGGTATTTCTATCATAAAACAATATTAACTAAAGTTTAAGTAAAGTTTTGGAGAAGTATATTAATTAGGAATATCCATCTTAACATTAACTTAGTCTCAACTCATGTTATACAATAAAAACTTGTCAGTACCTTTAACCACCACCTCACACTTAGAAAATTAGAAAGTATTACAATACTATGCTAAAACACCCATGTCTTTATTGAGAAAACCATGCCAAATACAATTAAAATAAAATAACCCACCAAAACTAAATGAAATTCTTCAATCATCATTTAAATGTAAGTCCTTTACCATCAACAAACCATTTTAGTAATAATGGATTTAATAAAATGATAGAACAAAGGCT